TCACCGTTCACGCATGCATACATTAAAGAATAATAGAGTAAAACTACATATTTATTCACTACAGAATTTGAAAATCCCGAATAAGAACTAACTGCAAATTTACAAATAACCATAATTTAAATCTATTTTATATGTAAACCTGAAGGGGCTTATAATATAATCCAAATGGTTTTTGTAAATCTGAATTATACCTTCTGGTAGTAAAGATAATCCTAATTACTTTTAAAGAACAAAAGCCAACACAACTCAAGAGACGTATTGAACTAGTTAGAAAGAAGGATAAAAGGGCAGAACAGCTGTTCATAAAATTCAATTATAACTTTGCCTAAACAATGCTTAAGTTCCCAGATTGAGAGCTTGCCCGATGTTACTGTGATTTCAAGGTCTTAACTTGGAATTGTGAAAGTTATTAATTTCTTTTTGAATCTAATCGTTTAAATTCAAACTTGAAAGACATCGAAAAACCTAAACCATTGTTGGAAACATTTGAAAACGGTTAATTATTGTTTATCATAGTTCCTTAACACAACCAAATACAGAAGTAATTACAACCAACCGGTTATTTTCTTATTAGGAAACTATAATCCCATAGGTTATTTAAATACCATAATCGTAAATACAACTATCTTTTGAAGAATCGAATGTCAATAAGGACTTTGTTAAGCGGGTTATTGTTTTACTGTGAAATATAATTTCTATTCGTCAAAATAAATTAACATTTCAACCCGGTAGTGGTGAGCTCATCTTAAAAGGGTTTCACGTTAAAAGAGAGTACTACCCGTTTGAGATGTTCCATTAAAAAGATTCACAAAAAACGAAACTGGATGCAAAAAGGGAGAACAGATGATTGTGGTTGAGACAGGCAGGAAATAGACTTGTTACGAAGGGATGATGAGCGTGTGTTTTTATGCCTTACAACAGCGGCCCGTTGAGAAGTATTTTCCTGGTAAATCGAAACAGACTTTTCCAAAAACACCATAGTTAAAAGTTAGTAAATATTTTTAGGTTTAGCGAACTACTTAAAAAACATTAATTTTCCTAATTTAGTAGAAAAATACTTATTTGAGAAACGTTTAATACCAGGTTTACAGTAGCAAATAGAAATGTAAGGTGGTGGTCAAAATTTGTAAGGTTATGTATTTTCTAACCTCGTATATTTTCTTGCTACATATTTGTGTACCAGGAAAATATACGTACTTGTGATTATTTACTGATTGAAGCATATCGTAAAGGACATTTTCATAATAAAAAGAAAAGTAGTTAGCAATTATTTTAAGTAAATAACTGCCTAAAAATGTATGTTTTCGAAGATCGTTTTCTTAAAGTTACGTCATCGACTTAGACAGCGTAAAGATTATATGATTTTTCGGTAAAACAATACTGAAAATTACCTTAGTTAATTTTTATTTGATTTATATTTTTTACGTATACCAGAAGGTTAACTTTAGGTAAAACTGTGAGAAAATGTTTCTAACACTCCAAGGTATTATGAAGATGAAAGGTAGGCCTACATTTATGAGTAATATACAACCACTTTGATATTAAATTTGTAATAATTTATTCACTATCAACCATGTATCTAATGAATACAAAAATACAGATTTGAATAACACAAGACTACATGGAAATACAAAAACAACACCAACTTTAAAATCACATGAATACATTTCGGCAAAAGTTATTTTTGACCAATTTATCTCCTGTCTATCACGAACAAAGGGATTTACGATGTCATAAAACAAAGACCAATAAAAGTTAGACAGGCGGCGCCGACAAGGATGACTCCGAGGAGGGTAGAGCACAGACTGAGGGGTGGAAGTCTAAAGTCTAGACTATAGTCTGTAATAAATAGACAGGGTAGTTGTGCTTTTAGACCCAAAGTTGCAACTTTCCTCCGGGAACTTCGTTGAAATTGAAACAAGGTTGTGGCACTGTTCAGTGCTTAAAACTTTTGTGAAATCGAATTGCCCTCGCCTTTGGAATAGGCCTAAAGCCATAAACACAACCAAACTTATTGTTAAACACCTCTTTCTATACTGAAACAGTTTTGATAGTTGTACTTAGTATACTTGTGTTTGATTACGATTGTGTAATACTGCAATACGCAACTTCAAGAAATTCATTTCATTTGAAAGTTATTAGAAACAATATATCTTATGCGAATCAACGCGTATCAATCAAAAGGAGCTAAAAACTAAATATAAATCAAACCCTCATAATAATAAAATACCTAGATCTGAAAAAGTATTTCATTGGATTTATTTTCAACCTTATTTTGAGCAATAACTTTAAAAACTCAATTAAATCACTTCAGTCAAGGTACGATTATTTATTGTACGTTTACTATATATTAAAATTACATAATAATAAATGTATTAATTATTTAACAAATCCGATTTAGGTAACATTACAAATTTAGAAAACATTTCCATTGCAAATTTTGTTTAAAGATTTTAATATACCAGCCAAATTAGAGTTAAACATCTACATATGCTGGAAAACATTACATACTATATTGATTAAATGATACAGTGAAAAACGTCACTCACCAAACTTGTATTCACCTAATTAGTGATACAGTACAGAAGGAATAATCATAACACACAAAACAGGTGAAACTTATGTATTGAAAAACTGATTTCGTAGGCTATATGAGCAAATAATATGCCTTATTATCACCGGAATCCTAACAATCGTTTGCTGACCGTTACAAGGTTTGTAACTCCACTGACGCAGTTTACGCGGGTTGAAGCCAAAGTTGATCAGTTACAATCCGACTATTGAAAACACAAGTAAAGCCGGACAGAAACAAAGTTTCAGTGTAAAATATGCTCTTAACATTACTTCCTATTAAATCCGAAGGTAGTCAATATAATACCCAGAAGAGAGGGTTTATTATAAATAGGATAACCTTTATTTTATCCTTAAGATTTTCTCAGTTACTAGAGGGCTAATAAAACATTACATAACAATATTTTTTTGGGAATTATGCAACGTTCTTTTCAGAGTAAACATAATTTTACAAACAAATACAAATAGAGAAGACCACAGTTGTTCTTCAAAGTAAATCCAAACAATCAAGTATCCTTGAACAATACTTTAAGTTTAAAACTGAAAGATAAGCCTTCAATCTTCTTCCTAAGTAAGTTTTTAAACGATTCCTCTTGAACAAAGGTATCTTCATACCGACAAAACAGTTGGTTTTGATGCTATCGTTAGTGTATTGAGTGTGTGCGTAATCGAAAATTATAACAATTCTGTATCGACGACAGTAGTTTTATAACGCCATGTCACTAGAATACAATACTTCCATTTTACTCACAGGCTATAAGAATCGAGTATAACTTTTAAAGTCATCGTAGTATTAAATACTTTCAATTAGTTTTTCCCTACTTAAATATTCGTAGGCATAAGAATGTACTGTGCGACAAAGGAGTAGGCCTTAGAGGTAAAAGATAGTTCAAAAAGATTAATATTTACAAAATCATTATGCATTACGTTTATTACATCCACATTTCACAACCTTAAAATTGAAAATTTTTGTAAAACATGAGAAAGCACGGTAATGTAAAATGGTTTCGAAAATGTTTCTTTTATAGCATCGTCATATTTTCAGGTAATATCATAATTTGGTGAAGTAAATTGAGGCCAATGAGGCTATAGATGAGCTTGAAAATACCAAATGATGAGGTATGATGGTAAAATAAAAAATGTCTTTGTTTTAACGAGACATAAATTAAAAGACTGTTACTGTACTTCCAAGAAACAAAAACATCATAAAAAACAAAGAAATATATCAACTTCCAACATATTACAAGGCTCGAAAACAGAGACTGGAATATAAATTTGTCAAAGTTTGTAATTGTTTCTAACATGGACCATCTGTCTCGTCCATAATGTCAACCGTTCTGATGAGGGGGGAGGTGGAACATGGCTTAAGGGGGGTCGTTTATCAATGGCGAAATAAATCTTTGTTCCTAAACCAAGTCCCTTGAGTTGATCAGTAAACGCAGTTGGTCAAATAAAGACTCGACTTGAATTTTTTAGTACTTAATTTGGAAAAAAATACACTTAACATTTCTACAGACAATATCTTTTTCGAAGATTATTTAATAGTAGCAGTCAACACTGAATATTGGAAATTCGATTGAAAGTTTTGTGACAGAGAAATTTATTCTGGCATTAGTAACATAAAAAAAAACTAGATAGAGACGCTGTAAAGATAAATAATAATTTTAAAAAATCTGTTAAATAATAATAGTCTTGCAAGATGAAAAATTATAATGTTAAACCATTTCCTATTCAGTTTACCAGTCTAAAGATGTAAATAGGGAACAGAAATGGCTAGTAGAATTTTTTTTTTAATTTAAAATAATTTATTTAAAAATGATTACCGGTATTGAAGAAATTATTTTTGTTTAATACATGAATTAATCTGTTGTAATAATTTCAATCCTATTTCAATTTATAAAGGGATTCTGTACATCTACAGTCAAATATCTTTCTTCAGTATGCGTAGATTTTTCCTGCGATTCACAGGAGCTGAGGAAAAGTTTTTCAATAAACATGCTTGTCTATTAATATTTAGAATTAGCCCCATGTTATATCTTTCCAAGAGAAGTTGAATTTACATTTTTGACCTAATTAACATCAATATTTTCAAAATACAAATAAAGCCTGCGCATATAGGACCGATAACCTTTCTTTGGGTACAACCTGCGTGTAAATCGGTCCAGTAGTATGGTCAGTCAGGGTGGCTGTCGTAAGCTTAAAAAAATTGGCCCCATGTTAAATCTCCACTAGAAAAGTTGAATTTCCTTTGTTGACCCAATTAACATAAATATTCTCAAAATACAAATAAACCTAGCACCTATAGGACCAAAAATCCTTCTTTTGATACAACCCGCGTGTAATTCGTTCCAGCAGTATGGTCAGGCTAGTTGTCATTAGTTTTGCAAAAGATTTTTAATATTATAAAATAGGTTGTTTATAACACTCACCCTTCTGCCGGAGAGTCCCTGGTGCGCCATCTGGTCATGCCAGGCCGGGCCATGGGGTCTCAGGTCAGTATCCTGCGGGAAGAGACAAACTTACAGCTTCGTCTTATAAAATAAAAATACACAATGCGATATTAATGTATAAAGTGACTTAAAGGGAAAATATTGACTCACAAATTAAGATTAAATTCTGGGTGAAGAACTTGTACAGATTGATCTGGAAAAATCCAAATTTAAATAAAATCTTATGTATACAGGGTGATTTGTACTCAGTGTGACAACATTTTTTTGATGTAAGTACAAAGTAAATGAAGTGTGATGATGCATAACAAATGTTCCAAGTCTCAAAATTAGCGTCCCAAAAAATTATTTTATGTTTTTCAAAAATAACCATGCTTTTAAACTTAATACAGCGATTTCTCAATTACCTGTATATGGATTTGAGTAGATAATGTCATTTTCGTGTTCTACATTAAATTTTGAACAAGAATAATGGAAAATGAAGGAGGATCAGTTGTAAAAACTCCATTGTAAATAGATTCAACGATAAAAATTAAGATATTTGATAAACATTTTAAAAACAATAGTCTATTGCATTTTTCTCACCCTGTATACAAGAAAGTGTCGGAATATGTTAAAAACTGCGCCATTTTATAAGCTTTCCAACCATATGCTACACTATTGAGGTTTAAATATTATTTCTTTGTTTGTTTTAGTGGTTTGAATACCAGAAAACATGGGACTTTTTTTACTGTTTTTACTGTTCAAGCTGAATCAAAAATACAACTTTTGCTTATATGCCGACTTTCTATGTTTTAAATTTTAAAGACACCATGCTTTCTAGTCTTCAAACCATTAAAGCGTACATAAGCAGACATAAACCTCAATAGTGTAGCATATCGTTGGAAAGCTTATAAAATGGCGCAGTTTTTAACATATTCCGACACTTTCTTGTATACAGGGTGTGAAAAATCCAATAGACCATTGTTTTTAAAATTTTTATCAAACATCTTAATTTTTATCTTTGAATCTATTTACAATGGAGTTTTTACAACTGATCCTCCGTAATTTTCTATTATTCTTGTTCAAAATTTAATGTAGAACACGAAAATTACATTATCTACTCACTGATTCAGTTCCGGGTTCGATCCCCGCCAAGTCACCAAAGGATTTTATCTAAGTGATAATGCCGCAACCCCTAGGTCTAGCCTGAAGTAATGTGAAAAACAATCCCAGACTCGTGCCTAGCGTCCTAGTAAAAAAAAACATCCTGGGGAAAAATAAACTTCTGCAACCTGATCTGTTAAAATAAAAATTTTTAATACAAACTTAAAGGTGACTAACCTAAGGGAGAGGCAAATTTAAAGCTTAATCTGTTATGGCAAACTTACAACTTGGAATGGTAAAATAATAAAGCATAATGAAAATTTGAAGTTCTAAGGCCGACAATATCGTACATTTACAATTTTAGTTAAACGTTATGAAGCAAAACGAAGGAAGCTTTAAGTTAGTTCACGTTATTATATTGTGTATATAATAATATACAGGGTTAGTAAAAAGTCTGGAGACCCCCTGTAAATTTTGTAACGGCTCACACTAGGAAAACTAAACTCTACACACCCATATAGAATCTTATGAAGTACTTTTTGAGCCCAAGGAGGATTTTGGGGGAAACTCAAAAATGTTAAGCGTTTATAAGCCCCATCGAGTGACCGCTCATTTTGAAGGTCGTGATAAAAGAAAACGAACAACGCAAACTAGAGGGTTCTATCTTAACACAGTAAACTATGGTAGCCAATTGAATATAAAATTCCAAGTTAATTCTGATCTATAAAGATTTTAATCAGCTATCAATTTTTACTGGATTGAGATAGAGACCTCTAGTTTGCGATGTTAGTTTTCTTTTATCACCAACTTCAAAATGAGGGGTCACTCGATGGGTCTTACCTTTTGAAATTTTTGAGCTACCCCCAAAATCCCCCGTTTTGGGGATGTACACCAAGTGGCGGTTATGCTCAAAAAGTACTTCATACCATGCCATAAAGGTATGCCGAATTTTGTTTTTCTAGTATGAGCCGTTAAAAATTAACCGGGGGTCTTAGACTTTTTACTAACCCTGTATATTATATTACATAAAATTAAAGCAATATTAATTAGGGATGTATATAGCTTAAAAAGAAATAAGATGAGTAAATTAAGGTGAAAAAAATTGTGTGTCACAACACCTTAACTATTGAATGGTTCGAATGTTCAGTAAAAGTTCTACGTGACACATGTTTGTATCTAAAACACCACTTGTCCTTAAGAGCAAAACAATAAGATTTTTCCTCTAAGACAAAAACCAGAAATCACACCACAGCCAATTTTATCTGTAGGGAAAAGTAAAAAGACTTATTTATTTGGGAGCATTTACATCCTCTAAAGCCATATAATTGGTTGTGACTCAATTACAAGGGATTTTAATGGAATTTAACAGCTAATTTGTGAAATGATACTTTTAACTTGTAAAAGAAGAATTATTCCGTTCAATACAATAGGTTTTTTTTATTATTAATTGGACATAAATTTGCTATTGTTGTAAAATTGTGTAGTCATGTAAAAAAATGCGTTTTAGATTACTAAATTTCTTATGGATTTTTTTACAATCTGTATGCGTTTTCAGAGGATTTTTAACCATCTTAAAGATTTTTGAAATAATAAATCTTCTTCTGTAATATTAAATATTGCACAGAGAAAAAATACTTAACATAATTAATATATATTTGTTCTAACTGGAAAAAAATAAATATGTTTTCAAAAATTTTTTTTCTTCAGTTTAACTATGATCTACGATTAAACGAGAAAGAACTGTTATTGTGTGAGAAGGCAAGATAAAAGTAAAGAGAGTCTGGTATTTAACAACTCCAATTAAAAGTTGAGAAAGGATCTACGTTAAAGGACTTGGCTGTCTGGGGGTTATAGAGCTTGAGTACACTTTCATTGTTCATGACCCTGGGCGGATTTAAATTTCAGATTTACCAAGTTTCTTTAGTGGCAACCATCTAGACGATTGCAATATTTCACAATAAATTTAGGTAATAAAACAACTAGACTTTAAAATTGTAAAGCCCCCCATACACGGGCGAGCATGTTCGCGAGCATGCTCGTGACGGTGTTGGCGACGAACATGCTCGCCCGTGTATGGGGGGCTTAAGACTTTTCAATATCATAAACCATTAAATTATTACAACCGGAATATAAACTATTCTGGCCAACGTCGAAGAAATAAATGTTTGATAAAAAATACCCCCGCCGCAGCAAACGTACTCACTAAGAGAATTTCCATTCGCCTGATATGATATACAATTAATCTATATAACATTAGAATAAACGAGTACCTAGGTTTGCTGCTACAGGGAGGATAATGAAGTGTGTTTTTGGTAAAATATTAATAGCTTAGTATAAAATAAAAAAGCCAAGTTTGATCAAAATATATTCATAAGCAAGTAAACTACAACATTTTACAATGTTTTCCATAAGAATGACAAGGGAATTTTAAAGTTACAACTTTTTCAATTTTCTTCGTAACTATTAACAGCACAAAAACACCTCAATACACTAAATCATTTGTCTTTTTAAGCTATTTTGAGGGGTTCAGAGAGAAATTGGGAAATTTTGTGTTTTGAATGTGTTAATTTATGCACTCAATCTAATGTTATAATCTATGTAACATAGATTTAATGAGAGAAATTAATAAATAGGGCTCACAAATAAAATAAAATATGCTCTTCCATTTTGAAACACCCGGGCGTTTGAAATTATTTTTACATGGTCATATTGACTAGCCGAGACAGGTCGAGAGCCTAAAACCGATTCCCAAATGTCAAATATCAGGACAGAGGGGGGAGGTTTAATCAAAACCAGGTGTTAAGCTGGTTACAAAACACCCTTGTAAGGGAGATTTTGCGTTATGAACTTTGACTTATGAAGCACAGGCAAAATCTGACCGATTTATAACCAGGTGGTTGGCGAATAACTTTAAAGGTGTTTTTTTAAGAAAATATTTTATTTCCACTTTCTAGGGGATTGATGAAAATAGTAGGTACTAATTTTCTATTAATTTAAAAACAGTTCATGCATTAAAGTGGTTTGACACTAACTAGCAGAAAAACAGTAGTATATGATTAGATGACGGTTTTAAATTCCGAATATTTGGTTTAATCTAAAAAATATATGAACTACACATAGCACAGTTGAACCTAAAAAGTACTTTGTTATAATTTACTAAAGTAGAATTTCGTTGTTTTAAATTACTTACTTTCCGGACGTTTTTTTACCAAATGTCTAAAGCGGTGATTCTTGCTGTGCAATACATTTCAAAGCAAACATAACAGAGATTTAACTCTGAAATCAAATCGGCAGAGTCTAGAAAATATTAATGATTTTAGGCTTTGAAACTAATGAAGGCTACATAGCTTGACTGACTTCGAGATTCCTAGGTGGTCTTTAAGTCTAAATAGATATTACTCAAGTTTCACTAAGGGTTTGAAAAAAAAGAGTTCTTTATAAATAAAAAAAAAATATGGAGCATAACAAAAGTGCAAAACTCCTATATACTAAGCGAACTTCAAACAATAATACATACTTTTTTAAAGCTTTCATATAATGTTAGTTTATAAAAAAAAAAAAACTCTATAGAACTAAAACAAATGAAATAATGAGAATTTTTGTATGAGATAAAAATCTTGTATAAAAATGTTAACAATTTTATGTTTTATCGACATAATATTAACAAATGTTTTTGGTTTGTTAAATACACTAAAAACAGTGACAGAAACAAATTCCTTCGTTACATCAATATAATTATAACATAAATAAACAACATGTGAAGAAGGAGCTGTTTGAATTTTAACTGACAAAACACATTTTTAATTGAAATTGATTTAAGTAATTCAGAAGGGAAGCCACTGTAAATGAACAGCTGCAATTTTCAACCGTCTTCCCACGATTGATGTAAAATTAGGTTATTTGATTAATTCATCATCTCCATTTCGAAAGCTTTTATCTCTCTGAGAACCTTCGGAAATTAATCAACA